ACGAGGTAGACAGACACGACCGGAACGAGGTAGACAGACACGACCGGAACGAGCTAGACGTGTAAACGGTCGTCAGAACCGAGCTCGGCCTGGTTAACTGATCCGAGCTCGGACCGGTCTCGGCATGGATCGGTTTTTTAAGGGTCGTGTAAATGAGGTTTAATTTGGATAAAGCTATTTCTACCTGATCATCTGAAATAAAGGTGACAATTAACAGCTGTTAGTTCCTCTGATTCAGTGAAAGACAAACCCAAATAATCCCAGAAATAACTTGTAAATGATCCGAGTCATACGTCGCTTTTTATCCTGGTTACATCAGAAAGGTTTTACAGTGAAGCTCATTTAGTGTCCAGCCTTCAGAGTCCATCTGGGCCACCACCCTGTCAGTCACACCTCTCATCTAGGAGTCTCAGCTCCTTCCAGAGATGCAGCTCATGGAGGTTAATGTTCCTCTCAGCTTTCTGACACTGCAGCACGTTTCTCTCTATGATGGCTGGTAGTCTGCAGATTTGATAGGAGCCTGCAGACGCCTCCTTGGTGGTCTGCGATGGCAGATGCTGCCCCTCATTAGAGGTTGAAGCTGTCATGGTGGACAAACATCTGCCTTTGGTCACATGAGCTTTCTAGAAGGATCCTCCAGGCATCAGTCTGTCAACAGACACCCCTCTCACCGGACTTACCTCTGATGGTGACCAGTCCGCCTACAGGTGGGAGGCTGACCATCTGGTGACCTGGTGCAGGGAGAACAACCTGGAGCTCTAAAAACAGTGAGGACTTCAGCCCCAGCTACCTCCATCACCCTCTGGGACTCCTCTGTGGAGTCTTTCTGCTTCCTGGGAACGATCATCTCACAGGACCTAAAGTAGGAGCTGAACATCAACTTCCTCACCAAGAAGGAATGATGGGCAGTGGCGGCCTACTGGTTAGGGCTTGAGAATCCTGAGGTTGTGGGTTTGAACCCCACTCCCACAGACTGCCACCCTGGGTCCCTGAGCAAGACCCTTAACCCCACACTGCTCCCTGGGAGCTGCACGATGGCAGCCCACTGCTCCCCAGGGGGATGGGATAGGGTTAGGTTCTCCTCCATCACCATCTGGTACGCCAGAGCCACGGCCAAGACCAGACTGCAGCGCGTCATCCTGTCTGCAGAGAAGGTGATTGGCTGCAATCCTCCATCTCTCCAGGATGTGTACGCCTCCAGGACTCTGAGTCCTGCAGGGAAGATTGTGTCTGATCCTTCGCACCCCATCTGCAAACTATTTCAGCCCCTTCCCTCTGGCAGGATGTAGCTATATACTATATATTGAATATAACTATAGATCCTGTATTCTGCATATAAGGGTTGTTAAAAGTATGGATACTGAAACATTGTATCCGGATACAATACTCATTTTCAAAAGTATCGATACAGCCCTTTAAAGTGCAGAATAGTGGAAAATGCACTTTCTGAACACTGTGTGATTGAATAATTGTACGCACTTTTCAGTTTCAGACTTATTTTTTAAGAGGTGCAGCTGCTGAGAATTATTTTAGTTTAACTGATTTGGCCGGTGTCATTATTATGTGTGCAAAGCATAGCCAAGGAAGGAACACTTAAGTAATTTTATTAGTCTTGTATCAAGGTTGCTTAATATTGTGCACAGCATACAACCTCAAAATATTATTCTTATTGTTTTTTTATTTAGTTCTTGTATTTTTTTATTAATGAAAATATTTCTGTTGAATTTTAGCGTCTTTGTTTTTATTCTTGTGGTATCGAAAAGGGTATCGAATATCAAATATTTTACTTAGTATCAGTATCAAGTTGAAGAGTTTAGTATCGTGACAACTAGGGCTGGGTTAAAAAATCAATTTAAATCGATTTCCCTTTCAATAGGCCGATATCGATTCATAAAAACCATAAATCGATCCATTATAATACGTCTTTCCATACATTCATGACTTCTCGTGTCCCGCGAGATCTCGTCACTGCGCGAGAGGAGCGCACCAAAACAATATGGCGGAAGCTCTGAAATCACCTCCAAGAAGTTTGAAGGCAGATGTCTGGAAATATTTTGGATTTAAAAAACAAAATGACAGCAGTGAACTGGATAAGAGCAAAACGGTTTGCAAGATTTGCTACGCAGAAGTGAGGTATTGTGGAAACACAACTAATCTTCGAAACCATTTAACGGGACACCACTCAGCCCCGAGGCAAATGCAGCTTGAGAAGGCATTTGATATCAAGTTACCAGCAAACTCCCTGCGTGCCCAGAAAATAACTGGGTTGGGTTTAATTCCTAATGTAGATATGTAAATTTTTTAGTAATGCTCCAAGTTTGAGCTAGAAGTTTCTACTATTTGCAGCATTGGTTCTTCTGAGAATGTCTTCCATATCAATGAAACGAAACAATTGTGAATCGAATCGAATCAATTTGGAAAATCTGAATCGATACCCAGCCCTAGTGACGACCCTACTGCATATATTTCTAATGTGTCTGCAGAATCAACACCAAGTCCAATTCCTTAAAAGTAGAAACCTACTGGATACTAATTAGTCCAGATTAACTAAAACCAGCCTGTTGCTGCAAAGCAATGTCTGACTTTCATTTCTTCTTTCTTAATAACATTTTTATTCACTTTATCGAGGGTTGTTCTCACCACTGTGAATTTTATTGTCCTTAAATGAGAAGAACCAGCTATTTAGTACAGTGTGTGTGTGTGTACCTGTCCAGCTATCAGAGTGAGGACTATTTTTCAATACAACAGTCATTTTTTATTTTCTTCTAAGCGGACAGCTTTGCTGGAGGAGAGACGTTTCCTGTTTGCCGTTTACTTTATTTTTTGTGTTGAATAAAATCCGTAACAAGTCTCTCTGGATCTGGTTGGGCTGTGAAAGACACACGTTTCTGGTTCTGTCTTTCAGTGCCCAGTTTAAGGAGATCAGTCTGGGTGAAATGGCTGCAGGAGCTGGAGGGGGCTCTACTTGTTTCTACTGCCTCCTCTGTCCACCCAGAACTACAGTCATGGCCAAAAGTACTGAGAATGACACAGATATTAAACTTTCACCTGATCTGCTGCCCTCTGGTTTCCATGTCAGATGACGCCATCACGTCCAGAAATACAATTGCATCATATTCTGAGTAACAGAAGCAATGATTGATTTAATGACAGTTAGAATGAGTCAGTATTTGCAGTGTTGACCCCTCTTCTTCAGGACATTTCTCCCTGGCTGCTCTCAATCACCTTGGACTGATAGCGTCCATTCTGCATAATCAATGCTTGCATTTGGTCAGAAGGTTTCCGTTTGTCCGCCGTCTCTTGATGATTGACCACAAGTTTTCAATGGGATTAAGATCAGGGGAGTTTCCAGGCCATGGACCCAACATCTCTGTTTTGTTCCCTGAGCCAGTTAGATATCAGCTTTGCTTTATGGCGAGGTGCTCCATCATGCTGGAAAAGGCATCTTTCATCACCAAACTGCTCTTGGACGGTTGGGAGAAGTTGGTCTCGGAGGACATTCTGGTTCCATTCTTTATTCATGGCTGTGTTTTTTTAGGTCAAACTGTGAGAGAGCTGACTCCCTTGGCTGAGAAGCAACCCCACACATGAATGGTTTCAGGATGCTTTACAGTCGGCATGAGACCAGGCTGGTGGTAGCGCTCACCTCGTCTTCTCCCAACAAGCTGTTTTCCAGATGTCCCAAACAATGGGAAAGGGGATTGATGAGAGAAAATGACTTTCCCCCAGTCCTCAGCAGTCCACTCCCTGTACCTTTAGCAGAATATCAGTCTGTCCCTGATGGTTTTCCTGGAGAGAAGTGGCTACTTTGCTGCCCTCCTTGAGACCAGGCTCTGCTCCAAGAGTCTCCGCCTCACATTGTAGATGCACTCACATCTGCCTGCTGCCATTCCTGAGCAAGCTCTGCACCACTGGTAGCCTGATCCCGCAGCTGAAACACTTTTAAGAGACGGTCCTGGCGCTCGCTGGTCTTTTTTGGCGCCCTGGAGCCTTTTTGGCAGCAATGGAACGTCTCTCCTTGAAGTTCTTGATGATGCCATAGATTGCTGACTGAGGTGCAATCTTTCTAGCTGCCATTCTCTTTCCTGTTCGGCCATTTTTGTGCAGTGCAATGATGACTGCACGTGTTTCTTTAGAGATAACCATGGTTCACAGCAGAGAAACAATTAATCCAAGCAGCATCCTCTTTTTAAAGTGTCCAGTGGTGTCATTCTGACTGAATCCTGACAGATTGATCTCCAGCCCTGTCCTCATCACCACCCACACCTGTTTTAATGGAGCAATCACTGAAACCATGTTAGCTGCTCCTTTAAGGCAGGGCTGCAATGATGATGAAATGTGTTTTGGGGATAAAGTTCATTTTCTAGGCAAATATTGCCTTTGCAATTAATTGCTGTTATGCTGATCACTCTTTAGAACATTCAGATAAACTAATGGTTGAAGGACTGAGTCGAACATCCATGGTTGTTGGATTCATCCATCCTGGATATATGCGTGTGATATATGCACAACTGTGTGCACAGATATATTTGTATATTTAGGTGTGGTGATCAGGCCATGAAGTGTAGCTGACGGTGATAAATAGGTTCCAGTGTTTTGGGAGCAGTCCCTGGGGACGCATTAAACATCATTAACTGGGAAGTTTCACACCACTTAATAAACTTCCTTATTTGATTTAATATTTTCTAAGCTAATGTTCCACATCAGAACCACTGGATCTGTTTCTCTTACAGTTGAACTCTTTGTTTGTGTTCTGCAGGATAAGAACAAACTGATGGATGCTCTGAAGCATGCCTCCAACATGCTGGGTGAGCTGAGGACCTCCATGCTCTCTCCAAAGAGCTACTATGAGTTATGTATCCTTCATTGTTCTCTGGGCCACGGAAGTAAAGAGTTTCTCTCTCACCCAGTGTGTCTGTAAAGGACGGTGCTGTGGGATTGAGCTGAAATGTCTGCTGCTGTGTTCTCTCAGTGATGTGCTGGGGGGCTATCACATTTAGCCTGGCTTTACTTCCTGAGCGTGTTTCAGACATGGCCATCTCTGATGAGCTGCACTATCTGGAGGTTTATCTGACCGACGAGTTTGCCAAGGGACGCAAGGTGGCGGATCTGTACGAGCTGGTCCAGTACGCCGGGAACATCATACCCAGGCTGTGAGTATGGTCCCCCAGAACATGGGGGCACTCGGTCTAGGTTCTGATGGGGAAGACTATTTCTCTTTTGCTTCACATCTGATGCCCAGAGGAGGAGGAACCAAGCAGAGGGGTGGAGGTTTTATTAGATAGACCTGCATGTGTCCATCAAATGATCATGATGTAGTCCTCTTGGATCCCCTCAGTCTGATTGGCTGTTAGGATCACAGGCTATGGCCATAGAAGCTAGCTGGGCTTTAATGAGGAATCCATTCTAACTGGATCCACATCATGGTGGATTCTACAAACTCTCAGCTTCAACCTGTTTGTCCTACAATACACAAATGTTTGAATTGTTAGTATTCATCATTTAAATTCTTCAGCTTCATGGGAACCATCTGATCTGAGCTTTGTTAAAGGTTCCAATGTTCACCCTAAGCAGCTTGTTTTTCCGTCTGCAGCTACCTGCTGATCACAGTGGGCGTGGTCTACGTCCGCTCCTTCCCTCAGTCTCGTAAAGACATCCTGAAGGACCTGGTGGAGATGTGTCGCGGGGTCCAGCACCCACTCAGGGGTCTGTTCCTGAGGAATTACCTGTTGCAGTGTACCCGGAACATCCTACCTGACGATGGAGAGCAAGTGGAGTGAGTTTGTCTTTCTTTCAACTATTATAAACTCAATCGTATAAAGGATGTGCAGGAAGGACGGTTTCTAAGTTAAATTACCAGCATTGTTTCTCATCCCTCAGTTCCCAGGTCAGGAAAATGATTCAACCTTGATTTTTGATTCAGAGAAATAGTAGATATG